AGCTCGGACGAGACAGAGAGTGTGCATCAGTTCTTGGAATTGTTGAAAGGTGTTGCCACGGACGAACAACCTAACGCGTTGTTTGGCAATATCGTTGCTGTTAAGTCAGAGCACACAGACAACACCGTTACTGCTGTCACAGACAGTCACCATGACGCTGTTGTTGTAAAATCTGACACACCCTCACCTGAAAAAGGGGGGGTACAATCACACGTCACCGACGGTGACCCGTCACAAAATGAAACCTCAGAAACAGCAACAGCTGTCCTGACGGTTCAGTCCAAACAGGGTGACACAAACAACAACTTTGCCGCTGTCATGGACAGCCACCAAGACCTTGTTGTTACAAACAATGAGAGCCCCTCAACACACGGTGAGCGGGTGATCTCATACATCAATGACGGAAGTCCGTCAAAAGCCGAACTCCCAGGAGCAGCAGCAGCTGCACTAACGGTTCGGAAAAACCGGGATTACACAGGTAAAGGTAAACGTAAGAAAAAACGTCGGCCAAAACCTACAAGGTTCCTGTGTAACCTGATCAGAAAGGGGGTCGCTAAAAAAGCTTACCTGTCGATCGCACTTGAAGGGGTCGTCACACATGAAGCCCTACTGGATGGTGGAGCCGACATAACTATTATGTCAGCCAAACTGTTTGAGGAGCTCAGGACTGCCGCTAATGGTGTTCCCAGGGACATACCTTTCATAGAATGTGCTGCAGGGCCTCACAGAGACGAGGGCAACCCTAACAGCTATAGCTATGGTTCACATGCAGGTTGGCGAGATGACACTATACCACCCGGTACATGTGTCTCCGGTTGACTCATTCCCATTTTTGATCGGCCAGGATTTTATAAATCGCTTTGACGCGATTATAGATTATGGTGAACAGACAATGTGGGCCAGAGTGAGCAAAACTCTGCCAATACTCATGCCTCCTGAGACTGTCAGACTGCCCAACAGCAGACACTGCAGAAGGCACCGAGGACCTCTCAGCAGAGAACACAGTCCCGGTAAGTAATCCTTCAAAGTCATGTGAGACCGAAGAGACCCAACTCTGGCTGAACAAGAAAGCCTCCTCTGCGAGCTGAGACAGTCAGAGTCCACTAGATACTACCTACCATTGGTAGTTCAAGGTGTAGAGATCCAAGGATCCCATACCAAAGATGCTGTACTGTCGCTGCGGACAGATAAACCAGCTATCAAGGACGGAGCCGTGGACGGCCCTCAGAGGTCCTCTGACCCCTCTGGGCTGCTCACAACTCTGTCAATACAGCCTACAGCCGAGGTAATGGCAGTCACACGTGCACAGGCTACAGCCAGGCCGGCTGACAACACAGTCTCTGTACAACCCGTGCTGACTGACCCAGACATCATCCAACTTCAAAAGTTGGATCCTACAATAAACTTGATGATGCTGTACTTGACTGACTCAGAGAAAAGCACTCCATCCGAAGCCAACCTGGATTCCAATCCAGACCTTAAAGCCCTCTTTCAGCTGCGCAAACAGCTAAAACTACTCAAGGGTATCCTAACTTTTGCTCATGGAGCGACGCCCTCACCCGTGTTCGTGGTCCCCCATGACCACAGGGGGGTGACGTTAGTTAGGGTGACGTTACCAGATGCGATAGCATAATCAAATCTGACGGTCAGAGTGAGTGACGCACCGAAACGTTGTTTTCTAGTTGCTTAATCACTACGTTTGTCAATGTTGAAACGTTGTTTTTGTGGTTGCTTAATCACTATTTTTGTCGATGTTGAGACATCGTTAAATTGTTTTTTGGTATTTGTTTCTGAACACCCCCAGCAAGAATGAATTTTGTGTGTACTTTAGTTAGAGACTAAAAGGACTTTGACTATGCCAACATGCAGTTCATTTGTTAAAATTCAATCTTTGAGGAGTCAATGTAGATTAATGCTACCTTAAGTACCATAACCTACATTGGTCTCACGACGCTCAAGCCGAACCTACTTTGGTCTCACGACGCTCAAGCCGAACCTACTCGAACAATCCTATTCGGGGTGGGGCTTGCTAATCCTTCAGTTGAGTCTCGCCATAGACTCCAAAAATATTTAGGGGAAAACCAAAAAACCAAACCTCAAGTCGTTCATCTAAAAGGACAACAGACAATTGAACCAAACTATATTTTGCCATTTAAATCTAACTTAAACCAAGTTACGAAGGGAAAAATAGTTTGGAATGCCCTTCTATAGGTATAAATCCCTATTTAAATTTTTCAGCAAGACCCACCCTTTAAACTGGTAACTTTAGATGATCTAAACCATGATAGCTTACACACCAGGTGCATATAGGTTAAGGTCTTATGTAAAATCCCACTCATAAGCCAACTAAAACCACATAAATGCATGAACACATAGAACCAGAATGGCACCCACTGGGAACCACCAGCAGCAACCTTCGCTGAAGGGACCTACAACTCCAACATGGGTCTCTAGTCTCCATCCAGTAGTCGCCTCTGCAGTTCTATCGAGGGAACCCCTCTGCATGCTGATCAATCAACACCTCCAATCATTGTGGATTTATCGTTGTGGATTATATGACTTTTTCCAATGGATTATAGACTTTGTTTCCAAGGGGTTAAAGCATTGCTACAATGGAATTACCAACAACACAATGGAATTACCAACAACATTATGGAATTACCAACAACATTGTGGAATGACCTAAACCGTTGTGGGATTATCTTCTTTGACTTTTGTTTTCCTCTTGCTGGATTACATCAAGCTCAAGGACATTCGGAGACGTAAGTTCATGTTGGAATTCATCCCCATGGACAGGCGATGATTTCCAAAGGGGGGGCTGTAGTGAACTCGGCCTCTGACCAAAACCTGCCTCTGAAAACCTTCATGGGACAGGAACTGTTATTTCCTTGATTTGAATCCAGAAATACAAATTAGCTCATCCAGAGGCTGTCTAATTGTATCCTGAAGGAATCAATTGAAAGAAAACTCTTCTTTTATATTATCATTACTATTTTACAATATCTTGATAAATCAAAAGTGTGTTTAGTTCATATCATTTCTAAATGTTGAACCACTCATTTTAAATCAACTGTGAAACAGTATTAATGATTATTGTTTTTAATCCTCATTTAAATTAGAAATCAAATTAAATGTCTATTTACAAAGTAATTATGCATTTTGATCTTCTCTCTGAATGAGAAGTAGTGATGTCGGTCGAAAGTCAGAGACAATCAGAAAGAAGTTTTTAGAACAGGCTGTATTGTTTTTAAACCTAGCAGACAGTAAATATGAAACACTGGCACCTGCTTGCTCTCACTTCTTCAAAACATTTCTTCTGTCTGTACTAAAAGTTCCTAAAACATTCCTGCTGTCCTCTTGACTTGTAGTGACCCTCTGACATCACTAGAACCACCCCCTGTTGGTTGTTTCAACCAATCAGGAAGTCCGGAAGTGAGAACTCTTTAAAAGTCCACACTTCCTGGAGTCTTCAGTCTTCAAATTCTTCGTCTTCTGAGTCGAGTTGGGACTATGGAGTCTTCCACATCTGAGTGGAACCTCTGACGGACTCACAGCTCGCTGTGAACTCACTTGGGCATAATGCCCTACAACCTCGAAGGAAGCTGGTTCTGTTTAATGGAGTAAACCACACGACTTCTGATGATGCCCAGCCACCGCCCGGAGACGCTGTAAAAAGATTGTACTAATGGACTCCTGTTCCTGAGCGGAGGTATCCCCATCTAAGGTAACGAAGTCTCTGCATGTCCTGAAGTGTACCGGAGGGTTGAGCTGGTGTTGAAAGAAGCGTGCTAATTCTGGTAAACAAAACACCTCCCCTTCAAGTGTCTTTAAACTCTTCATTTCCCATCTTTAAACTCTTCTATTTTGCCAGTAGTCTAGATGCCTTCAGAAATGTATCGTTGTCTTATTAAGTAAAACGTGCCAAGTTTTATTAATCAGAACCAGATCAGCTAATCACTTGTACTTGTTTTGATGTTAAATTTTGATTCTGTTAAATAAATGACCACATTTATTCTGATGGGTCAAAGGAAATTAACGTCTCATGTCACTGATTTAAACAATCATCACAGTTATCTCGTCACATGGCAGAAATTTAACTCGAAAAAGAGAGAACCCGTTATATTTAAATAATTAGTAGTGAAAGGGTTGCTAAGCTGGCCCTGACACCACTACAGAACTGAGGGGAATTTTAAATAAATGGTTCATCCATCATCTCTCTCTTTAACGTCCTGCTGCCGAGCCTAGTTCAGAACCGGTCCGCCTGGTGGGAGACAGCTCCTTCTTCTTTCAGGAAAAAAATAAAAACTCAGTTGTTTTGTAATCGAACTAAACACAAGCTAACATTATTAAGAACATTTGATTTACTTGTTGTAAACCAGTTACTGATTATCATGGAGTAAAGTCCAAAAAGTCGACTCGGTTCTGGTCCAATCAGCGGCCGGTGTGGAGCTGTTAGACGAAGTGGTCCCGCTTGGCATCAAATCTGTCGACTCTTTTATCCACAATCCAGCCAAAATCCAGCTTTAACTTGTTGTTAAGTTGTTGTTAGCTGAGCTTTTTAGCTCATAGGAAACAGCGTGCCGAGGCAGCACGCATGCGCATTAGGTGAAGGTACAAAATTCACAACGCCATCTAATGACCTGGCATGGTAACTACAGCGGATTCGGGAGGGCCGGGGGGGGGGGAATCCTGCGGATGCATGTAAACCCAAAATACGACCGTGTCAACGCAGATCTTTTCCTCTAATTAACATACGAAAAAACCTACATTTCCCCCCATCGTGTCCGTGCAAAAAAGGCCTTAAAATGAAAGGCAGCAGAAAGAAGAAAAAATCTTATTTATCTTATTAAATCTTATTTAATTTACCGCCTTCTAAAATATGAAAATATAACAGTTTGCACAGTAAAATACATCAATGTTAGACAAAAAAAAATTAAGCAAGGGCTGTAAAAAATGCTAAACTTGTCCATTTACTCAGGAAGTACAGGTAAATTTCTGACCTGCGAGGAGATAGGGAGCCCGAATCTCCAGCTGGAAGTTGAACTCATAGTCCATGGAGTTGATGGCTTCTTCTTCTAGCAGCGTGGCCAACCACAGCTGAGGGGCATTTAGGTTTTGATCATGAGGACTTGAGGCACAGGTGAGTCTTTCACGCCTAAAACATGGAGCATGTTTGAAATCACATACAAAATGTCAGCCATGTCAGCTTTTCTCCATGTTAACCGAAATTTACACCTGGACATTTAAGCTAACGGGCCAGATCTCAGTTACACTTCATCTAATTCTAACTGAACAGGTACCTTGTTTAAATTTGATTTGCTTTACGCTTTTATATACCATTTGCACGTTGTTTGCTTACGTTCTGGAGAAGTTTGGGGACAACCCCTGCTCCTCATTGATGGTCCTCTGTACCCGCGGGGTGCAAACTGGTGGGGATGAAACTCTGATGCCCCCGCTGGGTAGAGTGGAAAGTTCTGAGGAAGTACTGACCAGGATATGGACCGTCTCCATTGGAGGGATACTCCCAAGGTTTACCACCAACACGGTCCTCTCAAAATCCTCATCCATCAGTATGTGCCCTGAAACATCCAGAAAATAAAAAGCACTGTTGGTGTTTCACTGAGCCCTACTCCTGTTTATAAAACAAACTGTTCAAACTCATGATTACATTAAGAATGATGCAGAGATAATCCACAACTCCTCCCTTATTATCTCTTATACTGACTTATTATAAGGCAAGACTGTACAAACTGTATTTTTTTAAAGCCCTCAATTTGCACTCAGTAATCTAAAAAAGTTAAATCTGGTCCTCTGGACATTAAAAAAAACCAAAACAAAGCAAAACAACAAAAAATGTAGAAACGTTTCGTCTCTCGTCCGAGAGACTTCTTCAGTCTGAGGTGCTGTTTTCAGCTCAGTCTCTTAAATAGCACCTTCTCAGAGTGGATCAACCAGTTTTGCTGCTGAAAACCAAAACCAACTGATCACATGCTCAAGAAGGACCATCAGCCTAACAATGGATCATTCTACATTTTTTGTTGTTTTGCTTTGTTTTGGGTTTTTTTAATGTCCAGAGGACCAGATTTAACTTTTTTTAGATTTTTCTACCTGGATTATTGAGCATGCATCAGGATGCACTCAGTAATGTTTGCCAATGTCAGTTTTTTTGGATTATTGATTCAACAGATGATATTCTAGTTTTATTGAATAAATAGTATGATTATTTACATCCATCCATTATCTTTACCCGTTTATTCCATTTTTGGGTCACGGGGGTCGCTGGTGCCCATGTCCAGCAATCACTGTGCCAGGGGCGGGGTGCACCCTGGACGGGTCGCAAGTCCATCACAGGGCCACATAGAGACAAACGAGACAAACAACCATTCACTCTCTCACTCACACCTAGGGACAATTTAGAGTTACCAATCAGCCTAACGTGCATGTTTTTGGTCTGTGGGAGGAAACCGGAGTACCCGGAGAAAACCCACGCATGCACGGAGAGAACATGCAAACTCCACCCAGAAAGGCCCCTGGACCGGGGTTTGAACCAAGGACCTGCTCGCTGAGAGACAGCAGCTCTACCAGTTGCGCCACCGTGCTGCCCGATTATTTACATGTTATGTGTAATTTAATACCTATATTTCTTCAACCTTGCTGTTTGGTACTAAACAAGTAAAGCACAGCAGGTTTTTCTGAGTGGGAACTGACCACTAAACACACCAAACAATAAATCCAATTATGGTAAATCTGGTCATCTGGACAGTTTCTTTTTTGTGAAAAGACATTTCGCCCTCTATCCAGAGGGCTTCTTCAGTCTGAGGAGTCCCAAGTAAACTGTTTTCCCTAAAAAAGAAACTGTCCAGATGACCTTACCGACCATTATTGGATTTATACCAGGATGATTGTGCATGGACGTTGATGACTAAACAAAGTTCCATCCATCCATACTTTGTCTTTCACTTATCCATGGTTGGGTTGCAGAGCCAGCAGGTCCAGGAGGGAAACCCAGACATTCCTCTCCGCAGGGACCCTCTTCCCCAAAGCATTCCCAGACCAGAGAGTATATAAAATCCTCTGGTGTGTTCTGGGTCTGTCCTGGTGTCTCCTCCCAGACTAATATTCCTGGAAAACCTCCAGTGGGAGATGCCAAGAAAGGCATGCTGGTGACATGCTCAGACTACCTCAGCTGACTCCTTTTTGATGAGGAGTAGCAGCTGCTTTAGTCCAAGCTCCTTCAGCTGAAGGAGCTCCTCACACCATCTCTAAGGCTGAGCACATCCACCCGACGCAGGAAGCTCATTTTCAACCGCTTGTACATCCTTTTCTGTAATGACTCAAATCTCATGTCATAAATTTGGGGTATAGACACTCACTAGGAGACCAAGATGTTTGCATTTCAGCTAAGGTTCTTTACCTTGAAGGACCGGAGCAACATCTTCATTACTGAAGGTGATACCCTAGTTCCTCAATCCATTTACTTGTGAACAAAACTCCCAGATCTTTGATCTCCTCCACGGACTTATTCCAGACCCAGAGGGAGCATTTGATCTTTGTTCTGAATGAGAAGCGTGGCCTCAGACTCGCAGAAACTGATTCTCATCAAACAACAAAGTGGTGAATGCACAACACTCAACAACACTCCACAAAATTGGCTGTCCTGCCGACTCTGATTATATAGCTGTGTGTTTCATCCCAACCACAATCTTTACCTTACATTCACAGAACAAAAGGCCACTGGATCGACATCATGCTGATATGACAGTATTGATTACAGTTGCTTCAATCTTACCGGTGCCGCTCTGCAGAGCTCCGTTTGTTGTGTGGCAACTACCCACATAACAGTCATCGATCTTTGCTTTACCTTTTATTTGCAGTGAAATAATTTGACTGGATATCATAGCCTCAAACCCCACGACAATGGAGTTCTCCTCCAGTGGATATATAAAGATCCCTAAAGAGCACAAACAAGCAATCACTGACATGAAGTCAATAAAAATGTATTTAACAAGCGTTTTCCAGAGCAAAGGCCTTAAATTGCACACAAGCAACTATGGTTTAATTGGTTTCACTCACCTTCGATTGCATGATCTTCAATGTTCTCATAGGTCATAGAAGCTGTTAGAGCCAAAGTGTAACCCCTGACACAGGAAGTGATGTCACACACGCTGAGCGGCAGAGCACAGCGGGTCTCCTTGTTAATGAGTCCAGGCATTGTGATGGTTTTAAAACTCTGGTTTAAACAGGAAAAAAAAACTGTGTGAAATAAATAATTTTCAGACCCACATTTTTATTTTTTACAAAACTGTCAAACAGAAGTAGCTAACATGCCCTATACCGGCCTTTTATTGCACAAGGGGGAAAGGTGAAAAAGGGCAATGATGTTTTTACTTGTGTGTGTCTGTCTGTTACCCAACATCCTCACTGGACAAGTTTTAAGATTTTTTTCTGAAAACAATCACTGGATGTACATCTACAACTGATTGATTTTTGAAGTCCTCTTAATTCAAGATAGCTGCCACAGCTAAGCTGTAAGAAAATTCACAAAATGGCTCAAACTTAGTCAGTTGTACAGATACTGACCTAAAATTTGGTGTGGTAGTAGCTGAGACTGACCCTCAACAACCTTTTTGAGTGCTTACAGATTGTTCAAGATCTTGGTTAAAATTTTTGGATCAACTCAGTATTTACTAAAATATAGAAAAATGAAAGAGCTGCTGGATGGATTTTAATAAAACTTTCAGAAAACAATCAGTGGATGTGTGTCTACAACTGTTCAATGTTTGGAGCCAACTTAGTTCTAGATGGCCACAACATCCAACCAAAACCAGCTGCAGTTCAGTCAGTTATACAGATTTTGAGTTAAAATTTGGTCTGGTAGTAGCTGAGAGTCATCTTCAACAAAAACTGAGCTTGGCATTTCACAATAAATGGTTAATGAGTAATTCTGTGTGAGTGTGAAAGGTTGTTTGTCTCATTGGATTGATGGATGGATGAATGGATGGATGAATGGATGGATGAATGGATGGATGGAAGGATGGATGATGGATGATTGTTTGTCTTGTTTGGATGGATTGATGGATGGATGCTGGATGGATGGTTGTCTCATTTGGATGGATGGATGGATGGATGGATGGATAGATAGAAGGATGGATGGATGATGGATGGATGGATGGACGGACGGACAGACGGATGAAAGACAGTTAGCAATATGCATTCTGTAAAATATTTCTAGGCCTTCATGTTCAAATACCAATACCAATACCATCACAAAGATGGCCTCCTTTACTTCTCTGTCAAACCATCGTTCCTCTCTATCCAGGATGTGAACATCTTCATCCCTGAAAGAGTGACCGCTGGCCTGGAGATTAGTGTAGACCGCAGAGTCCTGGCCTGATGGTGTTGCTCTTCTGTGCTGGGCCATCCTTTTGGCCAGTGGCTGTTTAGTTTCCCAGATGTAAGACTGATCACAGCCCTCCTGACACTGAACAGCATACACAACATTACTCTGTTTGTGCCAGGGGACTGGATCTTTGGGATGAACCAGTCTTTGCCATAATGTATTTTGGGGTTTAAAAGCCACTGGGACGTTATGTTTAGAAAAGAAACGTCTCAGTTTCTCTGATACTCCCGCAACATATGGAATGACCACTTGTCTGGGTTCCTCCTTTTCACCTGATGGCTGACTGGAGTCCTGTTTGGGTTTCTTCTCTGCTTTCAGGAAGGCCCAGTTAGAATATCCACATTGCTCTAGAGCCTGTCTTGTGTGGGATTTCTCCTTCTGCCTGGCTCCTGAGTTAGTGGGAACGCTGTCTGCTCTGTGGTACAGAGTCCTGATGACTCCTAACTTGTGCTCCAAAGGGTGATGGGAGTCAAACTGCAAATACTGGTCTGTGTAGGTGGGTTTGCGGTACACCTCAGTTTGTAAATGTCTTCTATCAGAAACTGAGAACTCACAGTCAAAGAAAGCCAGCCTGCCATTTTTTGCCATTTAGGAGGACTGTGATCAATCTTACATCGGGGAAACCAAACAGCCACTGGCCAAAAGGATGGCCAAGTACAGAAGATCAACATCATCAGGCCAGGACTCTGCGGTCTACACTCATCTCCAGGCCAGCGGTCACTCTTTCAGGGATGAAGATGTTCACATCCTTGATAGAGAGGAACAATGGTTTGAGAGAGGAGTAAAGGAGGCCATCTTTGTGAAAAGAAACCGTCCATCATTAAACAGGGATAGAGGCCTCCATGTTCAACTGTCCCCCTCGTACAATGCTGTTATTGCTAGTATCACTCAGCCCCCTGTGAATAACAAACAGCCATCAGTTGTTATGACCGAGGTTGTACCCAGGATGAAGGACCAGAAAACTGAACAGAGACCAGGACTCGAAATACCAAAAAAACAGTGTTTATTTACAAAAAGTGATAATAAAGGTGATGACGTCTCTGTACAGGTGTCGGGAAATATTTACAATATATATATATACAGGATCACCTGAGGGGCAGAGGAAGAGGTTAAGGGAAACGCCGGAGGGACTGGAGTAATCTGTGAGGGATCTTTCTTACGTGACGAGAGGTTGAATAGGAAGGGTCCAAAATACGAATCCAGGTTGGAGTGGCAAGTGGTGGAAGGCAAAAAGGCAGCTGCAGGATCACAGGAGGGATTGAGGAGGAACTCAGGAGACTCAGGCAGGTCCGATGACAACACGAAAAAACAGGAAGGCTCTGAGAATGCAGAGGAAGACAAAACTTTAGTATAATCACTAGAGAACGCAGTTTGCTGGCTAGAACATCTACTACCGTTGGCAGGCAATGTCCCAGCGCCTGTAGAGTGGCTTCTGAGTCTTCTTATACTCCTCCTCAGGTGTGGTGCTGATCAGCTGCAGCTGCTGGTAATCAAGGAGCTTGAGGAGAGAGAGGAGTGCAGGGCAGGATCCCAACA